CATATCCAAGTGAAAGCCCTGGTGCAGTGCCAGAGTCTCCAGGGAGAAGCTCCCTGCAGGTGGCTGCCAGAAATCCCACCATGATGAAGCCACCGAAGAACACCAGAGCTGGTGAGTGGTCCCAGCAGAGCGGTGGAGAAAACTTGGATTTGGGGCTGTTTATTCCACTGGATAAATGTTGTGACTGATGCAGCAAATTCTGGAATTGGGAAGATGGTGGGGGCTGTGTCGGTGCAGGGGTTTTTTTTAAAGGTTTCATCTTGTGCTCCATAATTCAGTGTCTCAGTAAAGTACAGGTGTCCCAGTGGAACTTGCTGGAGTTGATCTCTGCAGTTTTTGGCTGCTAAAAATCACGGCTCTGCTTTAGAGAAAATGATGTGTCTTTTCTCTCTCTGAGTCAGCAAAGCAGAAAAACGCTTTTTAAGTCCTGGAAGCTGTAACCTGTTCTTGCTGTGTGGTACCTGGAGTCTTGCAATGTTGTTAAAAGTGTAAAAAGGCTGCTGAGGCCATTCTGTAAATCATTCTGGAGGAGGTGGCAGCTGCATGAGCTTCATGTGCTCGAGTAACTCAGGTCCTGCAGAACTTGAATCCATCATTCTAAAGACTTTCTAGTTCTCATGGCTGTTCGTGTTTGGGTGCATCAGCTGATGGAAGTTCTGCTGCTTCAGTAGCTGCAGAATTCTAGTTTGTGTTTATTTTCAAACTCATCCTCTCACAATGTGCTGGATGTGAAGCAGCTGAGGTTTCAGATTCCGTTTCTGCCGATTTTCAGAGGAGCAGGATGGGGAGGACGTCGAGAGGAGGAAGAGGAGAAGGAAGGCGACCAAAAGGAAAAGAGAAGGGAAAGGCCTGGAAGAAGAGGGCTCCTTGTCCTGTGATATCAAACTGGACGAGTCTCTGGATCGCACCCTGGAAGATGGAGCCAAGCAGCACAACCTGACTGTGGTCAACGTGAGGAACATCCTGCACGTGAGTGTGGGGGACTGGGAGCACTGGGGGCTCCTGGATTCCTGGTTCTTGCTGTCCTGATCTCTGCTAATAAATCTGTAAAGAGGGGATCCCGTGAATAAATCTGTGAAGATGGGATCATGTGGTGTCCGTGCCACTCACCTGGATTTTCCAGCAGGAGAGGCTGAGCTAGAACAGAGGCTAGCCAGTGTTAAGGGAATAAAGTAGGGATTTATTAGAGAGGCCTTCAAAGACCTAGAACAGAGGCTAGCCAGTGTTAAAGGAATAAAGTAGGGGTTTATTAGAGAGGCCTTCAAAGAATGCACCTTGGGCAGTACAAGAGCCTGGCCAAGGCTCTACCCTGGGTTATGAATTTTCACACTTTTTAAAGTTTTGGTCCATTTCCATATTGGGGTCAATTGTCCAATTACAGCTTCAGGTGGTGAAGTCCCATCCTCCCAGACTGCTTTCCTCAATTCACCTTTGTTTATCCATTTTTTGGGCCTGAAGCTGTGATGGTGTCCTTGGTTCTCAGGCTGGAAAAGGATTGTTTTGTCTGACTGAACTGTGAAGAGAACTTGCTAACACTTGATAACACTTTCCAGTAATGCAGTACAGAATCTGGAAAATAAGAAAGCTAAAACTTAAGGCATCACAACTTCCCCGTGCTTACACTGGCCTGGTTGTTTTTCCTGAGCAGTTACAGCAGGAATAACTGAAGTAAAATGATCCTTCTGGGCCCACGTGGGCAGGTGTAGGCTGTGAGCTGTTTCCTCTTTTGAATGAGCTGTTCCATCATAAAATTGTGGTGGAGTTCTAGTGGTCATCTAGTGGCATCACTTTTAGTTGATGTCTATCACACAACTCCCAGAGAGGAGAATTTCAGAAGAATATTTGTGCTGTCACAGCTTTGGAGTGAATCTCTAGCTCCA